CCCCCCTGAAACGAAACTGAAATTAAGAAGCAGTTTCTTATGGCGCGCTATGCATGGGGGTTTCCCGACACGTCTTGCAGTAAATGAAAGGGTGTTCCATGTTGTCGTTGCTGTGGACCTTCTTAATCTACCTTCTTTGGGGGCCCCCTTCTGGTCCAAGCACTTGCCTGCCTTGCCTGTCGGCAAACGGCGCCGCTTTATACACTCACACATTATACAGTATGGTGGCTTGGCTGTTTGTCTGTAGTCAATGCCTTGAACCTCGGCAAAAAAGGCATTAGAAGCATTAGAAAGTCAAGGTAAACTTGCGGTTAACTTGCGGTCTGCAATGAGTGTCACGCTCGCGCACACAAGTAAATATATATGCACGTTCATTCTCACTACGCGTCAGACACAAGACGCGCGTACATAATGATGTACATTAATTTATCAGAATCAGATTTTTTTTTTATTTTTTTTTTATTTTATTTATATAATGGGACACAGGGTTCGGTCCGGATTGATTTGCAGTTCGGTCCGGATCCGGACCTTGGTCCGGAGTTTGAGAAGCCCTGTACTAGAGCAACCCCTACTAGTGTACTTAGTGTGGGCTGATGTGAACTGGTTCCCCTGTGGGAGCTACGTTACTCTGCAGGCCAGTTCATTCCCTAATTCTTGTGATGGTGCCACGACTAAATATCTAGGCCTAATAAAGGATATCGGCATTCACCTTGGTGGAAGGACAAATCGACAAAGGCTTTCGTGACTCACTTACTTTTCCTTCCTGTGCTTACCATGTGTATTTGCTGAGACTGTTCCTTACATCAAATCAGAAGACTTGTCTCAGCTTCACTTGCTTCCTTCTGTTCCTGGAAGCAAAGCCAGTTCACCATAGTTTGGAGCTTTTGAAGTGCCAACCATGGTACAGATAGGGAATGGATGGTGAAGCAGGGTCAGCAGAACCATTCAGATAGAATGGGTCAGATTACTTGTGTTTTTTGGAAGGGGCCTGCCCTCCAATCAGGATTCAGAGTGCTTCATTCTGTACATTGACCTACTGCTATCAATGCACTTTGAATACAGATTATTTTGTTTGTCTAATTTAAGACCATAAATTAATGTAGCAAATATGGTCTTCTAGTCTAAGCGAGTCTGGTTATGAATGAAAGGCAGTCATTGATGTACAGTATGGAGGGGTAAGGTTATGTAAGGTTCTATTATTTATAAAATCTGGAATAATATCTTGCACTACAGTTAAGTAGGTGTTAGCTCAGAAAAAGAAACTCTATTTTGCATCTGAAAAAAGCAAGTTAATGAACATGATCCTAATTCTGTGACATGGCATTATTAACAGGTGAACATTTAAGGAAACTAAAAAGGGTGTTGCCATGATCATAACTTGCTTACTCACGACCATATTATGCTTTGAGGAGATTTTGCATACATTAAAGTTAAGGGGATTTCCAACCTCAGATTAAATAGCATTTATTTCCTGTTGAAACCTGATGTAACCAGTTCTCAGGAACGTTATTCAGAACCACATACTATGTGAAACAACAGGAGAGGGGTGAACACTTTTAAATGTGCTTTTGACACATTTGAAGTCCCTTCTTTTATGCTACTCCGTTGCACGAGCACAATTACGCAATTTCGTTATTCTTGGTACCTTGGAACCGTTGTAAAAAAGGAATTGGCATTGATAAAGACCAATACATGCTAGAATCCTTTCTTATAACCTTCTCCTCCTCCTTTCTACCCAACTGACTAAGTAACTAACACTCTTACAACAGGATATTTTCTACCAGAGAGGGTGCTTAACCTACTCCTGGGCCTCTCATAACAGTTGAGGGTGAGATACTAGAGCAGGGGTACTCAAACTTTTTTATTAAAGGTCCATTTGTGAACTTTATACAAGGTCACTGGTCCGGATCAATGCCAGTAAAGTCACCCCCCCCCCCCCCCCTGAAACGAAACTGAAATTAAGTAGCAGTTTCTTATGGCGCGCTATGCATGGGGGTTTCCCGACACGTCTTGCAGTAAATGAAAGGGTGTTCCATGTTGTCGTTGCTGTGGACCTTCTTAATCTACCTTCTTTGGGGGCCCCCTTCTGGTCCAAGCACTTGCCTGCCTTGCCTGTCGGCAAACGGCGCCGCTTTATACACTCACACATTATACAGTATGGTGGCTTGGCTGTTTGTCTGTAGTCAATGCCTTGAACCTCGGCAAAAAAGGCATTAGAAGCATTAGAAAGTCAAGGTAAACTTGCGGTTAACTTGCGGTCTGCAATGAGTGTCACGCTCGCGCACACAAGTAAATATATATGCACGTTCATTCTCACTACGCGTCAGACACAAGACGCGCGTACATAATGATGTACATTAATTTATCAGAATCAGATTTTTTTTAATTTATTTATTTATTTTTTATTTATATAATGGGACACAGGGTTCGGTCCGGATTGATTTGCAGTTCGGTCCGGATCCGGACCTTGGTCTGGAGTTTGAGAAGCCCTGTACTAGAGCAACCCCTACTAGTGTACTTAGTGTGGGCTGATGTGAACTGGTTCCCCTGTGGGAGCTACGTTACTCTGCAGGCCAGTTCATTCCCTAATTCTTGTGATGGTGCCACGACTAAATATCTAGGCCTAATAAAGGATATCGGCATTCACCTTGGTGGAAGGACAAATCGACAAAGGCTTTCGTGACTCACTTACTTTTCCTTCCTGTGCTTACCATGTGTATTTGCTGAGACTGTTCCTTACATCAAATCAGAAGACTTGTCTCAGCTTCACTTGCTTCCTTCTGTTCCTGGAAGCAAAGCCAGTTCACCATAGTTTGGAGCTTTTGAAGTGCCAACCATGGTACAGATAGGGAATGGATGGTGAAGCAGGGTCAGCAGAACCATTCAGATAGAATGGGTCGGATTACTTGTGTTTTTTGGAAGGGGCCTGCCCTCCAATCAGGATTCACAGTGCTTCATTCTGTACCTTGACCTACTGCTATCAATGCACTTTGAATACAGATTCTTTTGTTTGTCTAATTTAAGACCATAAATTAATGTAGCGAATATGGTCTTCTAGTCTAAGCGAGTCTGCATGAATGAAAGGCAGTCATTGATGTACAGTATGGAGGGGTAAGGTTATGTGAAGTCTTGTCAATCATTAAAAGCACTTTAAAATCAATTCTGTAAGACACCGGTAACCAGTACAGTGATGCCAGCAGAGGGGAAATGTGATCTCTGTTTTGTTTGTTATATCCTGACTGCAGCATTCGGAATTAATTGCAATTATTTAAAAGATGTTTTAAGAGGGACAAGTAAAAAGAGAATTGCTATAGTCCAAGCCGCTAGAAATCAAAGCATGTAAAACCATTTCAGCAGCATTCTGAGTGGCAACTGCTCTAATCCTGGCAATGTTTCTCAGTTGGAAACATTTAGTTTTTGCAACCTTGTTAAAATGGATTAAAAAATGAAGATCACAGTCTAAAATGACTGAAGTGGGGTTTGACTGCAGCCAGCCACCAGCGCTTCATTCTTTACCTTAACCTACTGCTACCGAGGCACTGTGAATACAGCATTTGTTGTCCGTCTAACTTAAGAACATAAGTTAATGTAGTCACTTCAATCTTACATTTTCACAGAGAACTCTGGGCCAGTAAACAACCTGCCGAGACTCAAGGAGGACACTAATCGGCAACCAGAGATGGGGTCGTTACTAAAAAAAAGTAATATATTACATATTACTTTTTTAAAAAGTAATATATTACACTACTTCGTTACTCTCTACATAAAGTAACTCGTTACTTTACTCGTTACTTTACTCGCAGGGCCGGCCCGCCCCCCCCTACAGGCAGATCACGCAGACTGCTAAAGTTTCAAATGTTCTCTTTAGTTCAGTTTCCATTGTCGCATAAGACTGATCCAGATAGCTCTGACTATGGCTGTCCTCTGTCTCCTGCTATCTGTATTTTGCGCAGTATATCTCTGAACGATGCGATGGTGATTCCACTGTGCAAATGGGCAACATTACCTCTACTATGAAGGATGCTACAAGCCTGTCCATCTCTGCTTTGGTTACCGGTCCTCCAAATTCTAATTTGTGCTGCTTCGGAGTCGGCGGTGGCGCACTCACAACATCCTCACTCTGGGTTCGGGGGTCCTTAGCTATTAGCTTCACCTTAGCATGTGTTCTTTGCAGGTGTTTGTTGAGGTTTGACGTGGTGTTTACAGCAGTGGATAACAGCTTCTGGCCTGGACACAGTTTGCACCTCACCGTCACATTCCTGTCTATTCTTCGGACGAACTCAAAATAATGGGCATACCTCCACCCCTCGAAAGTTATCGCTGACTCAGCCATGTTTATGCAGCACTGCACGTGGAGATGTGGACGCGCAAGTCGTGCAGATTACGTACATATAAACCTGCGGCGAAAACCCCTCTTGTCTGTCAGTGTGATTATGACTGATTTTATAAAAGTAACGAAGTAACGCGTGTCGGGGCAATGTTAGTAACTGTAGTGTGATTACTGAATTATAAAAGTAACGCGTTACACTACTCCGTTACCGACAAAAGTAATATTTTTTAAGACACCCAACTCTGGCTGTCAATGTATTTCATAAAGTAGTATGTTATTACTTTTAGACAAATCAGGTGCATAACATGATTGTCTTGTACCACAACTATTTTAACTAAAACACAATGATTCATTAACTGATTTAAAAATCTAAATGTGTGGCTTTTGATGCAGCTCAGAAATGAAAAGACAACAATTCTAAATGTGTCAATAAAAATGTAAATAATAAGAACCAGATACTTATTTGAAATAAAACTAAAGACATTGTCTAATCTTCATGTTGACATGAAGACTGAATGATATTTTAAAACATTGAAATTGTTAATGTGTTTATGACAAAAACACAGAAAAACATAAAAGCAAATATTTTTGCATCAGTTACTTTAAAGAAATAAAAACACTCAATCAAATCGGATTTGATTAATTGATACTACAATAACAACCAAAGAAGTAGGATACAAAGTCTGATTTAATCAAACTGAAACATTTACAAATTCCTTGTAAGTTATTGTGGGGAAAAGATATGGTCAATCTTGCCATCTCACAAACAGCATGTTACTCTGTGTGCTTCTCTTCATATGAATCAAGTGTAATCTAAATATCCATGAGAGGATGATGACTGTAATGAGGAGGACGTGACCCTCTGTGAGCACAAAGCTTGTAGTTTCTCATTTGATAGAAAATGACTCTTTGAGGCTTGCCTCTGCTTGCTCCTTTGTGATTTCTTTCCAAGCTGCAGGAATATCAGCAGGCTTTGCATCGTATGCTTCTGCAAACTCATCATTGAACTTTGCCATTACATATTTCCAGTAGTCTGAGGCCTGGAGGCTTGCATCTGGTAGGATTTTCCAGTGCGGATAAATTTGTCTGTAAGACTTGAAAGGATGCCATTTATCCTTTGAATCACTGTTGCGAAAAAGCATGTCACTGTTCACAGAGGAAGAACATAAGTCAATTGTGAGTTTTTGTGTCTCTTCCGATCTATTTCGAACCAGACCATTTGGGCGATGAAGTGAAGCGAAGTGCTCCATGTGGGCTCTTCCTCCTGCCTCACAGGGCACTTTGCAGAACGGACACTGTTCACCACATCCAATCAGTATGACGAAAAGCTCGTGGTGAGGATTCACCTGAAGGTTCTGTAGTTTAGTTTGGATGTTTGTTTCCTTAAACGTCTCTCTCAGAGCTTGTGCCATCTCCTTCACACACTCAGTGAGCCTGTGAGCAAACTGTTCCTGGTTGGCATTGTTCAGGATCATGAATTTACCAAGAGCATCCTGGGAAATGACCAGTTTGTCACCAAGCTCCTGACAGACAACTTCAACAAATGACTTCAAGTTGCCACACTTTTCTGTTTGAGCTTTCTGGATAGCATTATTTATGCTGTAGACACATGACTGGAGATGTTGTTCCTCGAACATCGTAGAGCCATTTGAGAAGCGTTCCACTATTTTGTTGAGTATCCAATTCTTTACATAATTCTCATAGGAGCAAATAAGCTCAGGTACTTTTTAAAGTCATCCTCTGAGAGCAGATCCAGTAAAACTGAATACTGGAAGGACATTCTTGTCCTGAACTGCTCACTTGTCTTCATTTCACCAATGATATCAGGACCCAGGAAACGGTTGACAAAGCCTTCGACTGCAGGCTTCAAGCATCGGTCTGTGAATTCTTCTGCTTTCTTCTGGCACTGGACTACATGATGGAACACATCTTTAAAATTAGAACGAAACGTTTCTTTGTTTTCGTTCAGACATCTGTAGGGATCATTCTCATGGATGAAATCTTCATGCATTTTCTGAAACCTTCTGGCTGCGTCTCCACAGATGTGCAGTTTCAGAGAGACTTCAAAAGTGATGTCAACTTCCTGATTGTTTTGCAGCTTCTCATCAATCATGTTTAGAATCTCCTCAATGTAGGTATCATGGTAATTACTCTTTCTTTGCATTTTGTCAGTCATCATCTCTGAGCAATCTGTAATGATGCTGTCAGCTGTTTGTTGTACAGCCTTTGTGTGACTTTGAGCACTGAATAGGTCTATATATCGCTTGACAATTCCTGCAGTATATTTAAAAGGCAACCGTCCACACTCTTTCAGGGTTTTGTTACTCAACAAATCATTCGCTTGACTTCCCTTTTGTTTTAGATTTGTTCTCAGGTGGTGAGACACACTGGTGAAAATGTCCCCCACCTTCAATTCTGAACAGGATAGGTGAGTCACTGTTTGAGTCCACATCTTGTCAAATTCTTTGTCCAGCTCTTCCTCTTTCATCTTGATGTTTTTCTTCCTACATTCTTCAATCAATGCACAAACGTTGCCCTCTAATTCCTTTGTGTGTTTCTCCTTGATTCTATCAAGTTCTGTCATCCCCTGTCTGATGTCAGCTGCTGCTGTGAGTTGATTAGACACAGACCTTTCCATTTCTCCTCGAAGGCTCCTTGCACTGTTTGCAAACTCCTGTCTGTATCCTTCAACAAGATCGACATGACCCTCTTTTTCCTTGAAGTACTGTTCCAGATTTCCAAGAAGCTTTGTCTCCCATTTAGACAGCTCTATCAAAGCTTCGCTTTTCAATAGCATGAGAAGTTCTCTCATGTCAGATTTGTTGGATTTATCAGCAGGTGTACCGAAGTTGGAGATTCTTGTTACAGCTTGTGTAACCCATGTGTACATTTCTTTTTTGAATTCCCATTCCCATTTGTTGAATTCTGTGCACAGCCTCATGTATGCATCAGCCACGAGACTGTTTCTGAAGCTGAAGAGGTAGTTTTCATGTTTTACTGCAGTCCACAGGCTCTTCATCCACTCAGTAAAGTCCAAGATATTATTAGCTGATGATCCACAACTTCCCAAAATGTGGATTATGTTCTTCTTGAGCTCATAGACAGCCTCGCTGTAGCCTGCATTGACTGGTGCCATCGGTGGGTTTCCATTCCAGAGTCCAGGAATGTACCAGCTTCCAGTGTCTGGACTGTACTCCATCACATCAGTGAAGCTCGAGTACTTTTCTTTCTTTTCCATTTTGGCTGCTGCCTGGGTCATCTCGTTTAACTGCTGCAGGAGCAGTTTCCTGTCTCGCATGTTCTTATCATGGGCTGAAACATCGGACACATTCTGGTGAACAAACTGACATTTGGGCTTCTTTTTCCCCACCTCTTTCATCCTGAGGAAAGTGTGTACAACTATCTGTAGGATGTCCTTCATATATGTTGAATTGCATATGCAACATTGATGATGGTGATATCACTCAGCCCCACAACAAGTGTTGCAAGCTCATTGTCGTGCTCGTGGCTATTGTCCAGTTGTGCGAGTTCTGGTGACTTTAAGCCCTCAGTGTCAATGATCACCATGAAGTCACAGTTGAGGTCTTTTCTGACATCTTCATTGATTTGAATCAGCAACATAAAGGCACCTCGAGTGCATCGACCACTGCTGACTGCAAACTGCACTCCAAACATGGTGTTGAGGAGAGTGGACTTTCCTGTGTTCTGAACTCCAAGAACTGTGACTACCAGGATCTTGTTCTTAGGAGACACCAAGTCATTGAGCTGAGAGAGAACGTCACTCACCCATCTGAGAGGTATGTTGGATGCTTCTCCATCTACAAGCTCAAGTGGAAATCCAGCAAGCATTAATCCTGCACATAGCTTGGGGAGATGCTGTAGTTGTTGACGTGCTGGGTCTGTTTCAGGAAGGGAAAGGGAAGCTTCATAGATCTGGCCCATTTCACAGAAGAAGTGTTCAGTCCCTAATGAGCTGTTGGAAAGTTGTTCCTCAATCTCCTTGATCTCCTTTTTGTTCTCAGAGTTTCTGCATTTTTCTTTGTACTGCTCCCTGAGGTCAAAGAGTTTTTCCCGAGACACGTTATCGAGGTTCATTCGCATCCATTTCAGGAAATAGCACCTCTCTATCCCTGGGCTTGATATTGCATTGATGAAACATGTCATTGCCTTCGACATGTACTGAGAGTTCTGTTTTTTCCGAAGTTCTTTTTTCTGTAGCCGAAGATCACTTTTGTACTTTTCTATATTTTTTTCAGACCCAACTTTCTGAAGCCGGAATTCTTCCTTCTCTAAGCGAGTGAGGTCTTTCCATATTTGTCCTTGCAAGGGAAGCTGAGCTTCTTTGTATTCAAGAAGGTCTTGAATTTCTGCAGTGATGGCATCTGCGTTTTTCTTCGCATTCTGGCAGTCTGGAGAGTCTTCATCAACACAGATTCCATGTTCATGTGCAATGTCAGCCATCTTCTCAATTCCCATCTTCACCTTTGTGTTTTCAAATGCATTGCTGACTTTTTCCCGCAAATCTTTGACAAAGTTTGCATCATTTATGTGCTTATCTTTCAGAAGGATGTTGCTCTTGGTTAAGCTCAACTTGGTTGCTACCTTTTTTACAGCATCTGATTTGAAATCTTTGCTTTGACGGTTGCCCACCAAGAAGATCTGTGCCTTGTGTTGTTGGTTGGTTAGCAGCTCACACTCAGAGTCCAAAGCATCAAAGAACACAAAAACTGCTGCAGATGTCTGACACAAGAAAGAAAATTGTGTTTCAAATGAAGCAATGTCCCCACGAAGGTTAGCTACAGCAACTGGCTCGCTGAAGACGTCCATGTTTTTGTTCCCACAAGGGAGGTACCAAGTCATTTCCACCAATCCATTGGATATTCTCCTTGGACTGTCACCACCCTCCATGTTACGGTGAACAAAGGTGTCATGGTTCTGCTGAGAGTTGCTCAGAAGCTTATTGAGGATCTCTGACTTGGACAAGGAGCACTCACCCAGTCTCACAAAAGATATCATTGGAAGTTCGGAGACAACAATTCTCTCTTCAATAAATCCCTTGGATTCTAAAAGGTACCGAGGTCTGTACTTTTTAACAATGTCTCTCATGGCCCAAAGCATGAGTGTGCACTGCTTTGTGTCACAGTTGGGAAGCAACAGAGGCACGGAAAACTGACACATGGACATTTTGAGGGCCATTTCCTGCTGTACAAAACCATCAGAGCACAGGAAGAGAGCAGTTATAATATCAAGGGGATTCAGTTTGTCACCTGAATGTGTTTTTTCGTCTAAGTCATCAAGACCATCTGTGTGATCCTCACAGTTGGACTTGTGTGCAGGTGTATATTTCACATTCCTAGCTGTCACATTAACCATCATTAGTTTCTTCAGAAAATACCATGGAAGATCTGAATTACATTTGGCAGGTTCATCTGTAAAGGTCTTCTGGTCAATCCTCAGAAGTGTGCTTAGGGACAGCTTCTCTCTGTAGTGGTGATCCAACCCCAGTTCCTCCAAAAGCCTCTCTAGCTGCTTCTCTGTAGAAAATAAAAACAATACATATAAAAGCCTTAATTGATTATTAAACATTCATAAGCATGGATCAACATTTATTATAAATTATATTATATCCTTTCCTATAGTTTATGAAACTACAACTATGATGGGCAGTCAATTATTAAACAGCTGGTCTAATCGATAGATCCAGATCCTTCAACCACACTAGAATCAAATTAAGAGATATACAAATCTAATTGGCAGATTGCAATGGAATTGTCAGTGAAAGGATTTGAAAGAAGGGATTGAGACATAATTTGCATCAAATTACAGCAGGTTTATAAAAATGCAATACACTGTTTGACATTGGCAGTGATAGTTGAACATTGAAAGAAACTATCGTTCATGTCTGTCATGATCAATCATATCTAAGATATATATTATGCATGGTTTAAGGAAACATCCACTTGAAAAGGAAAATATACACTTGTTTGCAATGTTACTGTGCAATAGTCATTTTATGTAAAAGCAATTTTTTTTATAGATGTCTCAGCATTTAATTGTTATAAGATCTCAATACTTTAATATATATATATATAAAATATAATATTTTGTTGCCATGTATTGGTTGTCTTTTTTACCTGCTATGCCACTTTTGCTGTAACACTGTACATTTCCCCGCAGTGGGACTAATAAAGGAATTCTGATTTTGATTCTGATAAGTACGCATACAGAAAATGTGTGAGCCAGATTAGCAGTAAGCATCATGTGTGCTATACTGGCAGTAATATATATATATGACAGCTTCATTAACATGAAGAAAGGCTGTTGCTGAGAAAGTTGCATTCGCTTGAAAAACAAGAAGCTAACCTTGAAGCAATAAAAACAAATCTTAGAGTGCTAATGGAAAAGCTTGAGCTTCAAACTGATACAATAACAACCATGGAAGCCCTGGAGTATGGTGGAGGATGATAATATATTTGCTGTGGTGGAGCAATACTGTACTGGTCAACCAGATGAAAATGCTGATGTTCATAATGAAGAGGAACAAGAAAAAAAACATGAAGCCAAACTCCAGCCAAGTTACAATCAAATAGCAAAGAAAGAGTGACTCGATTTAAGTAATGCAGCACCAAATCAAAATGACTGAAATGCTGACAAAGAAGCAACGCTTAACATTACATCCATCCAGAGAAATACCCATCTTTAAAGAATATACATTAGAGTACCTTCCATTGATTGAGATGTTTGTCCAAGCTAAAGACTTGGTGAGAAGGTTTCAATAAATTAATTCTAAAAAGGACGAGAAAGCCAAGAGATTGCTCGAAGAGAACTATGGAAATGAACTCTTTTGCAGCAGCTTGTTTGGAGAAAGGTCAAATTGGAATGCCATTAACAGTGAAGATAGAAAAGCACTGCTCAATTATACTATTTTTCTTTAAGGATATTTTAACTCAATGGAAAATATTGATACCTTCCTTTAAACTCAGGGAAAAGTGTAGAACTGCAAATTCATAGATTCAAACAAAATGAAAAATTCAATGTTTCTAGTTTTGGTTGATTTCATCAAAAGACATGCACTGATGGTTTTAAAGAAAGTAGTTTTGCAACAGTGAGTGCAGGTGCACGCATAGAAATGCAAAAGAGCAAAACATGTCAGATTTCCAAAAGACAGAGTTACGCCAGAGCTACCACCATACATGTATGCTAGAGTCAATGACTTTGGCCAACTTGACAACACTTGATGATGAAAGCCCTTCAACAGTTATGTGCGTGTACAAATGATCAACAGCCGACACACATAACTACAGTGCCAAATGTTCCAAATGACTTTGAACCTCTATCACTCGACCACTTGCTCCAGCTCAAGGTCAAACCAATGTTACCACCAGGTTAAATCCATCTGCAATATTCAGAGCCAAAACACTGTTGGCAGCAAGTGAAATGCATAACGGAGTTCTGGAGCAGATGGATCTACGACTTTGCAAGAAAGACCAGAATGGAATTGCATTCAAAGAAACCATATACCTGGACATACATGAATTGATCATAAACTCAAAAGCACTTCATTGATCCTGGTTAATGGCAAAAGTTCTGGAGACACCACCCAGATCAAGAGGTCTGATTCTTTTTATGACCGAAACAAACATGCTGGAAAGACCAGTAAGCTAAGTTTTCTCTGTGGTGCCAGTCTCAGATGTTTCAGTTAGTACATTTTTTTGTTTTGTTTTGCCTCTTTTGTTTTTATAGTAAACCATGCAATAATTATTATATTTGACTGACCTTTGGGGGCAGATGGTACAGGCTTGCTTAATGTTCCATCATCATTCTCTTGCAGAGTTTTACTGCACAACGTTGCAATGATCATCTCAGCAGCTGGTGGGTCCGAAGGCAGAGACTCTGGCTTGCTGCTGACCTGATTGACAGGAGTGCGTGGCTCTGTGGGGGGAAAAACGAAAGGTTTCACAAAAATGTCACTAAAATAAAAAAAATGAATGTTCCATCAATGTTTGTCAGCATTTGAAGGTGCTGTTTGACTTACAAGTAAAGGTCACAAAAAAGCCATATACAATTATCCAAAAGATCCAGAAACAGATGGTATTGATTTGTTTTACAGATTTACCCGTGAATACAGATAATTAGGTGGCAATTTCATTATACCTAATACTTTGAAACTGTTGTCATACAGGGATTTGTATTGTTTTGTTAAAACCTGAGTCATTCTCATCTTTATTACCTGACCGGCAAAAATGTTGCTTTCTTACAACAGGATCCTTCCTGCCCCTGGGCTGATAGTCATCTGGACTAATAGTCTCAAGGAGGGCTAGTTGTCTCGTTGAACTTAACAAAGTTTGTTCCACTGAACAATATGGGCACTGCAGCTACCAGCGCTTCATCCTGTACCTCACCCACTGAAACCGAGGAATTGTGAAGGCAGTTCTGATTGCCTGACGTCATTAAGACCATTAAGTCATGTGTTGAATACCGTGACTTTAATTTGACATTCTCAAAGAGAACTTTGAACTCTGTGTCAGCAAGCACACTGCAAAGATCTAACAAGGTCCCTTACGGACAACTGGCCAATCTATGGTCCGGGCTAGTTTGTGCCATCTAAAGGGCCAGGGTCCCATGGTCAGGAGGATCGCTAGCTTCACCAAGGACTCATACAAAAGAATAACTTGAAATGCCAGCTAGCTTTAACTAAACAAAACTGGGCAATCAGCTTTCTGTCTTCTGCAAGGAAATCTTTCTTGTTTTCAAGGAACAATTCTGCAGTGATGTCATCTGCAACTTTCTTGGCAGTCTCACACTCTGAAGGGTCTTTTTCAGAGTTTTTGTTTCGTGCAGAAAGTCCCAATGTGTCTACTACTTTTGCAAGAAAAACAGCAATGGAATAACATTTAAGAAACTAATTACCTGGCGATACATTTATTGATCGTAAGCTGAAATGCACCTCATGGATCCTGTTTAATGGCGACAGCTTTGGAGACACCACCCAGATCAAGAGGTCTGATTATTTTTATGGCAGAAACAAACATGCTGGAAAGACCAGTAAGCTAAGTTGGGCAGTCAATTATTAAACAGCTGGTCTAATAGATGGATCCAGATCCTTCAACCACACTAGAATCAAATTAAGAGATATAAAAATCTAATTGGCAGATTGCAATGGAATTGTCAGTGAAAGGATTTGATAGAAGGGATTGAGACATAATTTGTATCAAATTACAGCAGGTTTATAAAAATGCAATACACTGTTTGACATTGGCAGTGATAGGTGAACATTGAAAGAAACTATCGTTCATGTCTGTCATGATCAATCATATCCAAGATATATATTATGCATGGTTTAAGGAAACATCCACTTGAAAAGGAAAAAATATACACTTGTTTGCAATATTACTGTGCAATAGTCATTTTATGTAAAAGCATATGTTTTTATAAATGTCCTAGCATTTAATTGTTATAAGGTCTCAATACTTTAATATATATATATATATATATATATATATATATATATATATATATATAAAATATAATATTTTGTTGCCATGTATTGGTTGTCTTTTTTACCTGCTATGCCATTTTTGCTGTAACACTGTACATTTCCCCGCAGTGGGACTAATAAAGGAATTATGATTTTGATTCTGATAAGTACGCATACAGAAAATGTGTGAGCCAGATTAGCAGTAAACGTCATATGTGCTATACTGGCAGTAATATATCTATGACAGCTTCATTAACATGAAGAAAGGCTGTTGCTGAGAAAGTTGCTCTATGCACTGCTGCTTTACAACAGATACATTCGCTTGAAAAACAAGAAGCTAACCTTGAAGCAATAAAAACAAATCTTACAGCGCTAATGGAAAAGCTTGAGCTTCAAACTGATACAATAACAACCATGGAAGCCCTGGAGTATGGTGGAGGATGATAATATATTTGCTGTGGTGGAGCAATACTGTACTGGTCAACCACATGAAAATGCTGATGTTCATAATGAAGGAATAAGAAAAAAAACATGAAGCCAAACTCCAGCCAAGTCAGACAAATAGCAAAGAAAGAGTGACTCGATTTAAGTAATGCAGCACCAAATCAAAATGACTGAAATGCTGACAAAGGAGCAACGCTTAACATTACATCCATCCAGAGAAATACCCATCTTTAAATAATATAAATTAGAGTACCTTCCATTTATTGAGATGTTTGTCCAAGCTAAAGACTTGGTGAGAAGGTTTCCATAAATGAATTCTAAAAAGGACGAGAAAGCCAAGAGATTGCTCGAAGAGAACTATGGAAATGAACTCTTTTGCAGCAGCTTGTTTGGAGAAAGGTCAAATTGGAATGCCATTAACAGTGAAGATAGAAAAGCACTGCTCAATTATACTATTTTTCTTTAAGGATATTGTAACTCAATGGAAAATATTGATACCTTCCTTTAAACTCAGGGAAAAGTGTAGAACTGCAAATTCATAGATTCAAACAAAATGAAAAATTCAATGTTTCTAGTTTTGGTTGATTTCATCAAAAGACATGCACTGATGGTTTTGAAGAAAGTAGTTTTGCAACAGTGAGTGCAGGTGCACGCAAAGAAATGCAAAAGAGCAAAACATGTCAGATTTCCAAAAGACAGAGTTACGCCAGAGCTACCACCATACATGTCAGAGTCAATGACTTTGGCCAACTTGACAACACTTGATGATGAAAGCCCTTCAACAGTTATGTGCGTGTACAAATGATCAACAGCCGACACACATAACTACAGTGCCAAATGTTCCAAATGACTTTGAACCTCTATCACTCGACCACTTGCTCCAGCTCAAGGTCAAACCAATGTTACCACCAGGTTAAATCCATCTGCAATATTCAGAGCCAAAACACTGTTGGCAGCAAGTGAAATGCATAACGGAGTTCTGGAGCAGATGGATCTACGACTTTGCAAGAAAGACCAGAATGGAATTGCATTCAAAGAAACCATATACCTGGACATACATGTATTGATCATAAACTGAAATGCACTTCATTGATCCTGGTTAATGGCAAAAGTTCTGGAGACACCACCCAGATCAAGAGGTCTGATTCTTTTTATGACCGAAACAAACATGCTGGAAAGACCAGTAAGCTAAGTTATCTCTCTGGTGCCAGTCTCAGAATAAGGCAAATTAACATTCACAATTAGAATGTAGTTTTCAAAGGCTGAACCTTTTGTATCCGGCTCCTTTTTTGTTTTGTTAACTTTTATTAAAGATTCCCATTACAATTTGTTTTGTGCAGAATGCCAAAATAATATTTTCACCCGGTGGCGACCTCTAGAGTAAATTAAAAAGAAAGACTACAATTCCCTAGCACAAGCTTATTGAGATACTCATTTATGGGCTGATGTGGCAGAGTTCTAAACCGCTCAATTATTTAACGTTATCATCTTACAGTAAGTACATCTTTTAGTTTTGTTTTGCCTCTTTTGCCCTGCTGAGCTGATAGACTTTATTCTGAACAGGAGTGCTGGGCTCTGAGGGGAAAAACAGAAAGCTTTCAGTAAAACTTAAAAAATGAATGTTTGTCAGCATTTTAAAGTGCTGTTTGACTGACAAGGAAAGGCCAAAAAAAAAGCCATATATAATTATCCAAAAGATCCAGAAACAGGTGGCATTGATTACATTTTCAGATTTACCTGTGAAGACAGATAGCGAGGTTGCTTCGCTTTGATTTCCATTGTCTGCAATCTTTTTGAAACTGATGGTACACTCAGTCCTATGAATCAGTGCCTTAACCGTGACAGTTTCTGCGTTATCAACAGTCAAACTGCCGCTGTTTGTTTCACAGCCTGAGTAATCTAACTGTAGTCTACACACAGCTACTTTCCCTGGTGGAGGAACATCTGTCATAAGACAAGAAAAGTACATCTCAGTATCTTTACATATCACTGCGTATATATTTATAACATTAGGTCAGTTATTGACAGTCACACTTACGGTCAGACTGTGGTGCTGCTGGAGTGTTCTTTCCTTCCTCACAGCACGGGTCAGGAGAGGGATCTGTTTCTTCATGATGTTCCTTGGTAATTGAGAACATTACAGTATGTTTGCATTCTGTTTTGAACGAGTCATACTATATTAACAATTGTTGGTTAAATAACCTTAAAGAGGTGGATAGAGACATTTATTTGTATCAGAATACAGCAGGTTGATGAAAATGTTCTTTGCACTGAGATTGGACATTGGCATTATTCATAGGTGATCATTTAATAAAAATCAGAATGGGTGCTGTCATGATCAATCATATTACTTAGAACCACATATCCTGTGACGCTCACAGGGGAGGGCAGGAAACTGTATAAATACTTATGCTTCAGACCTATGAGGGGTCAGCTATTCTAACCTTAATTTAACTATTACGCATTTCACTATACTTTTTACCAGTGCTGAAAGAAGTACTCAGTAAATATTAATACAAAAGTGTATATTTACCAGTAAGTAAAATAGTGTACAATAGTGTGTACCAGAACACTGTAGCTCTTCACTTTATAGAAAAGTATCTCTCAGTATCTCCACAGCAGGTATATATTTATTATATTAAATCAGTTATTAACAGTCACACTTACGTTCGGACTCTGGTGCTGCTGGAGTGTTCTTTCCTTCCTCACAGCACGGGTCAGGGAAGGAATCTGATACTCCATAATGTTCCTAGGTAATTAGGAAGAATATGTTGAATTTTTGAATTCTAATCAATACATGAATCATGCCATATTAACAATACTTAAATATATGACAATATTTCTCTTGTAATTGTATTGTAATTTAATTATTTACCTCCACATCAGGGTTATCCATTGCAGAAACACTCTCAGCCATCCCACAAGATTCTTCAAACAGCGTCTCACTGAAAGTGTTAGAAAAGAACTGTGTTACAACATCTAATCTAATGTAGATTCTACACCAGGCACATGCAGAGGATGAGAGGGGACGGGGCTCAAATGCATAAAAGGGCACATAAGGAAGTCCCTCCCTTTCCGGTGGACCTCCATGGGACCTTCTTTAGGAAAAATTATGTATTGAAGTCAATAGATGAGAGTAACACCTACGTCACTTCCGGGTGAAAATTACGGCCCGCCCACTTTTGGGGGAAAACAACGCTGTCATTTGAATGGCGGTCAATACAAATTCTGAAGTTTTTGCCAATCCGATCAGAGATGTATTAAAACCGTGGATTTTTGGATCTTCAAAGAGCCCGATTACGATGGCCAGTCAGGCAAACAATTACATTAAATCATTTGAAATCCACGATCGGGCTCGATATATGGTTAAATTAAAATCAGTAGGCGAGGCCGTAATTTCGCCAGCTGTTACTTTCATGAGCGAGGCGGAAAATAATTGTTTTATCATGCCAAAAAGCTGCTGTGTCGTTTATTGCACCTCAAACATGAAAACAAATCCAGAGTTACGTTTTTCTGTACTTCCTCTGAGAAAAAAGGACAGTAAAAGAAGAGCTCTGTGGCTTCAGGCTTGATCGACATTCAAATGACAGTGTTGTTTCCCCCAAAAGTGGGCGGGGCCGTAATTTTCGCCCTGAAGTGATGTAGATGTTACTCTCATCTAAGGACATCGATCGCCTACTGCTATATTTAACCATATATCGAGCCCTATCTTCGATTTCCAATGATTTAATGTAATTGTTTGTAATCGGGCTCTTTGAAGATCCAAAAATCCACGGTTTTCTTACATTTCTGATCGGATTGGCAAAAACTTCAGAATTTGAATTGATCGCCATTCAAATGACAGCTTTGTTTTCCCCCAAAAGTGGGCGGAGCCGTCATGTGTTACTCTCATATATGGCGAGAGAAAAATTATCTTTCGATCCCGTTTGAATTGTGCCACGAAGTACACATAGTTTGTCAATTTAAAAGATAATTTTGCAAGTAAAAAAAAAAATGTTTTGCCGTAAAACTTTTTTTTGTGTGAAACCGCTCAATGAACTACATCTCTGGTTTGCACAACACAGTGACTTGCTGCTGACCTGATCGACTTTATTCTGAACATGAGTGCTGGGCTCTGAGGGGAAAAACAGAAAGCTTTCAGTAAAACTTAAAAAAGTAATGTTCCACCAATGTTTGTCAGCATTTTAAAGTGCTGTTTGACTGACAAGGAAAGGCAAAAAAATATATAGCCATATATAATTATCCAAAAGATCCAGAAACAGGTGTCATTGATTACATTTTCAGATTTACCTGTGAAGACAGATATCGAGGTTGCTTCGCTTTGATTTCCATTGTCTGCAATCTTTGTGAATCTGATGGTACACTCAGTCCCGTGAATCAGTGCCTTAACCGTGACAGTTTCTGCGTTATCAACAGTCAAACTGCCGCTGTTTGTTTCACAGCCTGAGTAATCTAACTGTAGTCTACACCCAGCTACTTTCCCTGGTGGAGGAACATCTGTCATAAGACAAGAAAAGTACATCTCAGTATCTTTACATATCACTGCGTATATATTTATAACATTAGGTCAGTTATTGACAGTCACACTTACGGTCGGACTGTGGTGCTGCTGGAGTGTCCTTTCCTTCCTCACAGCACGGGTCAGGAGAGGGATCTGTTTCTTCATGATGTTCCTTGGTAAGTGAGAACATTACAGTATGTTTACATTCTATTTTGGATGAGTCATACTATATTAACAATAGCTTATGTGACATGTATTTGTAATTGTATTGTCATTTAACGGTTTACCTCCTTATCAGTGTACTCCATTTTTGATACACCCTCAGCAATCCCACACTGTCCAGATTATCCAAACAGCTTCCCGCTAAAAGTAATAGGAAATAACCAGAGGTGTAAGAAGTAGGCTACTCAGATCTTTTAATTAAGTAAAAGTACCATTACTACAATGTAAAAATCCTCTGTAACAAGTAAAAGTCCTTTATTCAAAATGTTACCCTAGTAAAATTACAAAAGACATCAAAAGATACTTCAAGTACAAAACGTGAAAGTATACTCATTGTGCAGAAAGATCCATTTTCATATTTTAAAATGATTGTATTATAATTAGTAATAATGAATTTATTAATGTCAATTCATTTCAATGTTGCAATTGGTAGAGGTTGGGTTCATTTTGTATATCTTGATATATACTGCTGGGTGCCTATCATATAATAATACATGATGGTTTATTAGTTTATTTTGTATTCTGTATTATTATTCAACGTCTGCAGAGCAGCTATCTAAAACTGTGAAATACATATTGTTAAAAATTAAGTAAAAAGTTACAAATTGCCTCCAAAATGAAGTGAAGTAAAGTATATAGTAGCACAAAGTCAAATACTCAAGTGAAGTACAGGTACCTCATATACATACTCAAGTACAGTACTTGAAAACCATTCAACACAACACCTGAACACCACAGATCAAACAGCCATGTGAACTCTGCAGCCTGATAGATTACTGAAACTGATGAGTTATGCTTCTGTTTGAGACCATGTGAAGCCATCATTTAAAAAGTATTTCAATGAAAGACAAAGAAATGCTTTCCTACCTTTTGTAGATGAACCATGGTAACACGTAAATCTGTTCTTGTATCCAGAGCTTTCATCTGCAGTGTATAGTAGTATAAAGCACTGCAAGTACACAGCCCTGCCCTTCTCTGCCAATGCAAGTGCCTATGAGAGGTGTCTCCTTTTATACTGCCTTGGGAAGCCACTTTGCATTTTATTTCCTTGAAAAAGAAACGTATTGTTTGGTATCCTCCCTTTCTGAATAATTATTTTCAGTCAACCCGCTCTTGGTCATGATTGTGAAAACAGCTTCTCTCTGAAAACAACAAGAGAGCTTTAATCTCAAGATTCAAAATTCAAAGGTTTATTGTCATAACATCATAACAAACTACGGTGTAATTATGTAATGTATGAAAAACTTAGATCACAAGTTCCTCAACAGTGCAATTTTTAAGATATACCATTTTTTTAATAAAAAACAACAATCAAAATAAATATAGTGCACGCTCAGGTTTAAAATATTCTTTTGGCCTGTGGGATGAAACTGTCCCTTAGTCTGGTGGTTTTAGTCCTGATGCTGCGGTACCGCCTGCCAGACGGCAGCAGACAGAACAGTTTGTTGCTGGGGTGATGGGGGTCTTTGATACTCCTGTGGCCTTTTTTGACTTTTATAGACTGTACTGCTATTCATATTCCAATAAGATAAAATACCATGTGTCTTAGTACTAGTCTGCTTTCGTTTTTGTTGTGTGCAGACTTTATTGTTGGGTATATCTTACAAAGCCAACCAGCGCCCCTGTAGCAAACGCCTTTCAGCCATTATCAGGTATCTGTTATGAGAAATTGAGAGCAGTATTAAAATGGGTTTCTGAGAATGATTCCGTTAACAAATACATATTAACATCAGATGTTCAACAGAGCAAGGAAATTGTTGTCTCCTTCATTACAAAACAATTGGCTTGCACAACACCATCTTACCTAGTTTTTTTAAGTGTGCAAATGAAAAAATGTAATTGCAATGTCATTTTCTGTAAAGGTCTTGAAAGAAGTGGAAAGAAACTCTATTTTGCATCTGAAAAAAGCAAGTTAATGAACATGATCCTAATTCTGTGACATGGCATTATTAACAGGTGAACATTTAAGGAAACTAAAAAGGGTGTTGTCACGAGCATATTATGCTTTGAGGAGATCTTGCATAAATTAAAGCTAAGGGGATTTCCAACCTCAGATTAAATAGCATTTATTTCCTGTTGAAACCTGATGTAACCAGTTCTCAGGAACGTTATTCAGAACCATATATATGTGAAACAACAGGAGAGGGGTGAACACTTTTTAAATGTGCTTTTGACACATTTGAAGTCCCTTCTTTTATGCTACTCCGTTGCACGAGCACAATTACGCAATTTCGTTATTCTTGGTACCTTGGAACCATTGTAAAAAAGGAATTGGCATTGATAAAGACCAATACATGCTAGAATCCTTTCTTATAACCTTCTCCTCCTCCTTTCTACCCAACTGACTAAGTAACTAGCACTCTTACAACAGGATATTTTCTACCAGAGAGGGTGCTTAACCTACTCCTGGGCCTCTCATAACAGTTGAGGGTGAGATACTAGAGCAACCCCTACTAGTGTACTTAGGCTGATGTGAACTGGTTCCCCTGTGGGAGCTACGTTACTCTGCAGGCCAGTTAATTCCTTAATTCTTGTGATGGTGCCACGACTAAATATCTAGGCCTAATAAAGGATATCGGCATTCACCTTGGTGGAAGGACAAATCGACAAAGGCTTTCGTGACTCACTTACTTTTCCTTCCTGTGCTTACCATGTGTATTTGCTGAGACTGTTCCTTACATCAAATCAGAAGACTTGTCTCAGCTTCACTTGCTTCCTTCCGTTCCTGGAAGCAAAGCCAGTTCACCATAGTTTGGAGCTTTTGAAGTGCCAACCATGGTACAGATAGGGAATGGATGGTGAAGCAGGGTCAGCAGAACCATTCAGATAGAATGCGTCGGATTACTTGTGTTTTTTGGAAGGGGCCTGCCCTCCAATCAGGATTCACAGTGCTTCATTCTGTACATTGACCTACTGCTATCAATGCACTTTGAATACAGATTATTTTGTTTGTCTAATTTAAGACCATAAATTAATGCAGCGAATATGGTCTTCTAGTCTAAGCGAGTCTGCATGAATGAAAGGCAGTCATTGATGTACAGTATCGAGGGGTAAGGTTATGTGAAGTCTTGTCAATCATTAAAAGCACTTTATAATCAATTCTGTAAGACACCGGTAACCAGTACAGTGATGCCAGCAGAGGGGAAATGTGATCTCTGTTTGTTTGTTATATCCTGACTGCAGCATTCGGAATTAATTGCAATTATTTAAAAGATGTTTTAAGAGGGACAAGTAAAAAAGAGAATTGCTATAGTCCAAGCCGCTAGAAATCAAAGCATGTAAAACCATGTCAGCAGCATTCTGAGTGGCAACTGCTCTAATCCTGGCAATGTTTCTCAGTTGGAAACATTTAGTTTTTGCAACCTTTTTTAAAATGGATTAAAAAATGAAGATCACAGTCTAAAATGACTGAAGGGGGGTTTGACTGCAGCCAGCCACCAGCGCTTCATTCTTTACCTTAACCTACTGCTACCGAGGCACTGTGAATACAGCATTTGTTGTCCGTCTAACTTAAGAACATAAGTTAATGTAGTCACTTCAATCTTACATTTTCACAGAGAACTCTGGGCCAGTAAACAACCTGCCGAGACTCAAGGAGGACACTAATCGGCAACTGACCAATATATGGTCCAGACGTTATCCTGCCCTCTTAAAGGCCAGTATCACATGATCAGGATGACCTCAGAGGAAACAACAGCACAATTCAAAACGATTGCAAGCTTGTTTTGACATGCATAGTTTGATGCAGGAACTACAGCTGCTGGGTAATCAGGTTTCTGTCTTCTGCAAGACAAACTTCCTTGTATTCAAGGAAGGATTCTTCAGGTTTGGCATCCGCATTCTTGGCAGTCTCACATGCTAAAGGAACTTTATCAAGCCAGAGGCATGTGCAATAAAAGCCATCTCTGAGTTCTCATCACATTGCTGACATTCTCTTACACAAATCGTTCACATGGTCTGCATCAACCGTTCAATGATTGTATTTGACTTACTTGCAGTTCACCTGTTTTTTATTAAAGTGCATTACACTCAGAGTTGGGTGTAATAATATTACTTTTGTCGGTAACGGAGTAGTGTAACGCGTTACTTTCATAATTCAGTAATCACACTACAGTTACTAACATTGCCCCGACACGCGTTACTTCGTTACTTTGATCAAATCAGTCATAATCACACTGACAGACAAGAGGGGTTTCCGCCACAGGTTTATATGTACGTAATCTGCACGACTTGCGCGTCCACATCTCCACGTGCAGTGCTGCATAAACATGGCTGAGTCAGCGATAACTTTCTAGGGGTGGAGGTATGCCCATTATTTTGAGTTTGTCCGAAGAATAGACAGGAAGGTGAAGGTGAGGTGCAAACTGTGTCCAGGGGCCTCATTTATAACGCCTTGCGTAGGATTGACGTAGGAAGGTTGCTTACGTAGTACAAAGCACAAAAATAGTTACATACATTTTCCGCCATTTTCCGATTCACAAAACATTGCGTACGGCACTCCCTACGCCTGTTTCCCTTGATAAATCACAATCGACTCGTAACGCCCATATTTGCCTATACATAGTCAAAGAAACGCCCATTCATTCATTCATTTTGACTGACTGCATGAAGAAGATCGCAGGAAATTACGATAGAACAGCTAAAAAAGACATCTCACACCGTGTCAGATTTTGGTTATTTTGGGGAGGTCGAGATAAATCATATTGTTTGGTGGATGCAGTTTGAACCAGAGTAGCAGCATGGAGGTCGGATCGTCACCAAAATAAATAAATAA